CTTGAAGCTCAAGGCCATTCTGTCCTCCAGGTGGACACATTTACTCGACCCCCTCGTGGTCGTGGCTGTCAGCCCCTTCGAGTTGTAAAAATCACCTTTGATAGTAGGACCCTTTCGCCCTCTATTATTCTTGCTGGTGCCAGATGCTCCATTCAGGAGTACATTCCCTCTCCTAGACTTTGCAATAAGTGCTGGAAGTTTGGGCACGGTGTCCTCAAATGCACAAGTGTATATGTGTATCAATGCCCCATGTGTGGAGATGATGATCATTCTAAGTCCGAGTGCACTGCTCCCCAGGCTCGCTGCCTCAATTGCGGTCAGGCCCACCCTACCTTCTCACGCTCGTGTATACACTACAAACTTGAGGAAGCAGTCCTCAACTTGAAACACCGTGATCGTCTGTCTTTTCTTGAAGCGAGACACCAAGTTCGTCGTCTCACCCCTTTCGCGGGCACATCCTACGCTCACGTGTTGCGTTCTACCTCTCCTCGTCCTTCCCGTCTTCCTCAGTCTCACAACCATTTCCAGGCCTTAAACCCGAGCACACCCACCACCTCCTCCCCCTATTCCTTTGCGTCCTGTCCCGAAAGGTCTCCCAACTGGTTTTCCATCTGGAGTTTCCCCCCTTCCTATCCAGTCCACCATGTCTCCTATGTCTTCTTTCCCATCTTCCCCCACTCTTTCTTCCCAACCCTTCCCCCAGTCTCTTGACCCTCCACGCCGCCTGTCTGTCCAGGCTGATGTCCATCATCCTCCCAGCAATCTTCGTGTTGTTTGCTCCCATTCCTCGTCTCCTGCTGAGACCATTGAGTCTGTCGCCTGGTACATTGTTACTGGAACGCCTGTCTCTTCGAGTCAGAAACTTAAGTCTGGCTCATCTCCTTTTTCCTCCCCAGTGGGTAAGAAGACATCACTTTCTTCCTCGCCCCTCCCTCTGACTCTATCACTACGTCCCCTCCCATTTCAGTGGTCGGGCCCCCTGTCCGAGATATGGAGGTTTCTTTCGCCCCCGATTCCCTCTGGGCTGCTGCCCTTGCTGAGGTGCACTGCCTGATTTCTACCCTTCCTCCTCCTGCTGTCCTTGACTGCCCCTCTCGGTAGTCTCCTCCTCCTCTAGACCCTATCAGTCCGCCTCTGGTCTGTCCTCCCGCTCCCTTCCCTCCATCCTTACTAAGTTTACCCATGCCCCCTAACGCTGATTTTGCTGACCCTGTTCCTGATCCTGAGATTCTTTAATATACTGTGTTCTTCTTTACCTTTGTTTCTTCATTGTTATCTGTTACTGTTCTTTCTTTTTGATAATGTCTATTCTTCAGTGGAATATTCATGAATTTTATGCCAACTTCCATGAACTCCAACTTCTAATTACACAGTTTTCACCACTTTGTGGTTGTCTCCAGGAACCAATGCTTGGTGCTCGTCCTGGTCACTTGCGTGGTTATTCCTTTCTTTCTCCCCCCCCCCCCCAGCTCTAGCTGGGGCCCATAACTCTACTGCTCTCTTGATTCATTCTAATATTCCCTTCATCCCCCTACTGTTTCCATCACCTATACATTGTTCTGATGCCCGTGTTTTTGTGAGTAAATGGTATACAGTCTGTTCCATTTATCTCTCCCCAAATGTCCCGCTTTCCCTTCCTGATCTTAAGCACCTCCTGGACTCCTTGTCAGAGCCAGTGCTCCTTTTGGGTGATTTCAACGGTCGACATACCCTCTGGGGTGATGTTCTGACAAACACCCGAGGCCGCCTTCTCGAACTGTTTGTCCTCGCTTCTTCTCTATCTCTTCTGAATTCCTGTGAGCCCACTCATGTGGACTCTCGGACTCACACCCTTTGCTGTCTTGATCTTTCTCTTTGCTCGTCGTCCCTTTACTTAGATTTCACATGGCGGGTTCTTGTTGACCTCCATAACAGTGACCATTTCCCTATCCTCGTTTCCTTTTTCTCTTTCCACCCTCCCCTCTCCTTCCCTAGGTGGCAGTTTGCAAAGGCTAGATGGAACCTATTCACCCTCTGTGCTACTCTCTCTGACCTCTCCTCTCTGCCTCTTCCTCGCGCCCTCCTCCTTTTTCATGACACCGTCTTTGACGCTGCTCTCCGCTCTATTCCTTGCTCTACCTCCCGAGGCACGCGGAAGTGCGTTCCCTGGTGGAATGCGGACTGTGCTCCGGTTGTCCGCTGTAAGCGTGCATCCTGGAAGAAACACCGACGGATGGATGTGCGCACATCCATATGCATCCACACATGGATGTGCGCACATCCATATGCATCCACAGGTGGATGTGCGCACATCCATACACATCCACAGTAGCTCTAGGTGCTGGCAACTGTGTATATGCTGTACTTACTGCATAACGCATACCATAGCTAAATATGCTTTAAATTGTGCATATTTTAGCATAGTACAGGTGCTGGAAAAAATTAAATGCGTATTTTTTATACATAATTTTTGCATATGCAAATTCAGACACACACACACACTTTAATATAGAACTATTCACAAGTCTTCCTCTATATGTTTAACTGATCTCTCACCCTGTCCATGGAGGACAGAAGCAAATGTATATATGTGTGGTTAGCATTGTTAATGTGTGGCCACGTCTGTGGTAGAAAATAATAATAATTATAATAACAATAATAAAAATAAAAACACGTGCACGTAACCTTGCTTGAAAGGAAGGAATTATCAGAAGCGCCAAGCGATTACGACTATATAGCACTGGGAAGGGGGTCAGGATAAGGATTTAAGGATGGGACGAGGGGGGGGGGGGTAAGGAATGGTGCCCAACCACTGAGACGGTCGGGGGATTGAACACCGACCTGCATGAACCTTTCATAAGCATAAACCGTCACACACACACACACACACACACACACACACACACACACACACACACACACACACACACACACACACACACACACACACACACAGCAAACAGAGTGGTAGACGGTTGGAACAAGTTCAGTGAGAAGGTGGTGGAGGCCAAAACCGTCAGTAGTTTCAAAGCGTTATACGACAAAGAGTACTGGGAAGACGGGACACCACGAGCGTAGCTCTCATCCTGTAACTACACTTAGGTAATTACACACACGGCAGAGACTGTGGTCCAAGGTGAGAGGCAGAGTGCAGCAGCAGCAGCAACAGCAGCAGCAGCAGCAGCAGCAGCAGCAGCAGCAACAGCAGCAGCAGCAGGAGGCAGGAACTAAACAACACTCACATTATGGTAATATAAATATCATCAGAGAGGGATCTCTGGGAGGCTCCATACACTATAATACACTTTGGTGCGCTGTGTTGCTCTACACTGTGAGGGTACTACACTATGGTGCACTCTACAGTGTTACGCTACAGTAGTACACTGCACTGTAGCCAATTATGCTTTACTGTGATATGTTAGGTGTTCTTTAACACATTATATTTTACAGTTGTGCAAAACTCCTTTATACAAGTCAGCAACACTTGTAGCAACAACACTATACAATGCAGCAACACACTATACCATACAACAATACACTGTACAATTCAGTAACACACTATCTCATACAGCAATACACTATACAACACAGTCATAAAAACAACACACTATACAATGCAACAACAACACACTATACAATGCATCAACACAACTATCCCATACAACAATACACTATACAATGCAGCAACACAACTATCCCATACAACAATACACTATACAACACACACACAGTCATACAGCAAGACACCACTTGCCTGATAACGACCTAACAACCATCAACCATCACAGGCCCCTCCACTTCCTCCATGTTCAACCATCCTAGGCACAAGGAACACAATTAGACTCCATCTTAAGATTCTAATTCCGAGATGTATATTGGAGCTGCCCCGTTGCCAACCCCCACAGTCAGACTTGCAGGCGGGGGTTGGGTAAAGGTGAGATTTAATCTACAAGTATTTAGTTTAAGACGTGAATTGTACCTGTAATTCTTTTTGGTAATTTGTAATGGGAATTTATTATTTTACAGCTCAAGAAGCCCCCATTTTTTCCACATTTATTTTTGCGTCAGTTTTCCCTTAAGTTTCTTGCTGTTATCTCACGCTGGGAACATTAGGTTTCACTTCACGTTTTGTTGATATCATGTAATATGTTAAGGTTTTAATTTGGTTGATGACCAAACGACAACTCAAGATAGCGACGACGTTTCGGTCCGTCGTGGTCCATTATCAAAGGGTGTGATCTCTATTGAAGAAACCATTGGTTTCTTTCTCCATAGTCTATGGTATATAGTCGAATATATGGTATGGTATCGGGGATAGTATGGTATATAGTGTTCTTTCTCCATATAGTCGGGTATATGGTATGGTATCGGGGATAGTATGGTATATAGTGTTCTTTCGCCATATAGTCGGATATATAAGTGCATGTTTAGTTGAGTCAGGCTTATAGTATGGTATATAGTGTTCTTTCGCCATATAGTCGGATATATAAGTGCATGTTTAGTTGAGTCAGGCTTATAGTATGGTATATAGTGTTCTTTCTCCATATAGTCGGATATATAAGTGCATGTTTAGTTGAGTCAGGCTTATAGTATGGTATATAGTGTTCTTTCTCCATATAGTCGGATATATAAGTGCATGTTTAGTTGAGTCAGGCTTATAGTATGGTATATAGTGTTCTTTCGCCATATAGTCGGATATATAAGTGCATGTTTAGTTGAGTCAGGCTTATAGTTCGTGTAATGGTGCCGCTTTAACTGCATTTCTCTGCACTTTCTGCAATTCATTTGCAGCGTTTATGACTAGGGGTAAGGTGAGGTAATCATCAGGAGAAAGCACTAAGCCGTTACGACTCTATAGCCTTAATGTTAAGAAATAATTACCAAAGCTGTTGAGCATATTGTAGCGACAATGTCAGCGATGTGCTGTAGTAAGGTTGTGTGTCTGGCCACCCAGCCTCCCAGAGGTGGTAGTACTTGTATCAACTGTGGCTCGAACCTGCAAGAATTGACTGTTCTACTCTCTACTGTTCTGCAAGTGACTGTTCTACTTCCAACTGTTCTGCAATTGACTGTTCTACTCTCAATTGTTCTGCAATTGACTGTTCTACTTCCAACTGTTCTGCAATTGACTGTTCTACTCTCAATTGTTCTGCAATTGACTGTTCTACTCTCAATTGTTCTGCAATTGACTGTTCTACTCTCAATTGTTCTGCAATTGACTGTTCTACTTCCAACTGTTCTGCAATTGACTGTTCTACTTCCAACTGTTCTGCAATTGACTGTTCTACTCTCAATTGTTCTGCAAGTGACTGTTCTACTTCCAACTGTTCTGCAATTGACTGTTCTACTCCCAACTGTTCCGCAATTGACTGTTCACGTTTTGTGCTGTTGGAATAATAACTGGAACAGTAACTGCACATCCTGACCTCGCCCGTTTTAGGCCTAAATAAGCACCCTTAGGCCTAGTATACGGTTGAAGGCTAATAACCGTAATGAGTTATGAGGATAGGCTGAAGGAAGTGGATCTCAGTTGTAAGTGATTGTTAGAATAGTGAAGTTGTGAGACAACGGGTACAACAAGGCTTTTAGGCGAGGCCTCAAGAGCTGGACCTCACTTCCCCGTAGTCACTGATAGACAAGTACTGATAGGTAAGTACGTCCTGTTTAAGTGTGATATATTACATATCTGTGCTATATAAGGTCTAGGAAAGGTTTCGTTCTTGTTGTTGTTGTCGTGTTTTTCGTGTCTTCTACAAAATGAATAGTACAAAAAGTTTTTTTTTTTTTTTTGGAGGGGTGCAACGGTCCATTTTTGTACGTTTGACGAATTTATAAAAGTGTCTGTATGTCCAAGGTTCGAGGCTGGACGCTTGTGGCTAGCTTGACCCTACTTTTACACTTGAAGCATGTTGGGTATGGGAGTGTCACAGGTCAGTCGGGGTCGGCTCTAGTGCCACACTTTAAGAAATATTGGCATCTAAACCCTCCCCCCCCCCAACCCCGACCACTTCCCATCTTGCGATTTTCATGATCTGAAATATTGGTTGTGTTGTCCGTAGACTGATTTAGCCATTTCAGTGAGGGGGTGAGGGAGTTATTGAGGGAGAAAGGATTGGAGAGAGAGGGAGGGGGGAGGCAGGGGAAAATAAATGAGAGAAGGGGGGGGGAGATTGACCCGGGCGCAGCCGGGTACTCACTCTAGTGACATCAATAGTATAATTTTTGTATGACGGGTTGATGTCCGACAAATACACGAAATTAATAGCAGGGAATCTTAGCCATACTGCCTTGACCATGGCTAGGCGTCGTCTGGTGCTGCTGAAGTCGTTCCCAATGGCCACTCCCAAGGTCGTTAACTTGTTGGGTTGTTGATAGGGATTCTGAACACACTATATATTTGTACTTACCGTTATCGGGCCGAAGCTGCAGTCTTTTTACATTTATTGGCACTGAGGTGTGTGTGTGTGTGTGTGTGTGTGTGTGTGTGTGTGTGTGTGTGTCTGTGTCTGTGTCTGTGTGTGAAAAAAACAGTTGATTGACAGTTGAGAGGCGGGCCCAAAGAGATAGAGCTCAACCCCCGCAAGCACAGCTAAGTGAATACATACTCATCTTTCAGAGCAAAGAGCCTTAAGTTGCAAGGAAGTCGTTACGGCAGCCACTTGATGGCTGGAAAGGCGAGGACTGTGCTCAAGCTCAACCCTGCAAGTGCATCTAAGACTTTTATTTATGCATAGGAAAAAAAAGGGAGGCTTGACTTGCGCATTTTGTACTAAAAAATACAAGAGTAAGAATTTCTTGAAGAGTGAGAGAGAGGTTTATCTTGCTCTCGATAATATTTTTAAAGTGAGGTTTTAGTAGAAGAACTCTATTTTGCTCTCTCTGTCAGCGTTCAGTCTCCTGCTCTCTGTTGGGGCTCCGTCTCCTGCTTTCTCTGTTTGGCGTTCATTCTCCTGCTTTCTCTGTTTGGCGTTCATTCTCCTGCTTTCTCTGTTTGGCGTTCATTCTCCTGCTTTCTCTGTTTGGCGTTCATTCTCGTGCTCTCTGTTGCAGTATATTCTGCTACGCTAACTGTTGCTCTGTTGGCGGGGCTCATTATCTCCCCCCTCCCCCGACCTTTTTAAGACCATGACAAGGTCTCAGAAGGAACAACATTGGTGTTCCCATATTAACACTGCATTACGAGCTAAAAGCTTCTATCCTAAACGAGCTCATTTGAAACCTGACCCTGTAAACCCTAGTCTGTTGAATGAGTTACTCTGGCTAGAAACTTGATTTAATAATTGTTACATTTATGTAAGGTCAAGCTGGAGCGATCTGTGTATGAGAAGTTTCATGTGGTTAGTTTAAAATGGTTTCAGGAGAGTGTAATAGTTGAGAGAGCAGGTTAAACAGGCCGTCGAGGGAGCATTGCATTCATTGTTAGCATTTCTCTTCTTTCGTCCGAGTCTTTCTATCTGCTTCTTGTCGCCCCTTATTTTGGTTGTCCAATAAGTTGGGTCAGATAACAGAAACTGATATCTCTGTTGCAGTGTTGTCGCGCAGTTAAGTCGTCTTCCGTTGTTGTCTTGTTTATCTTGGAGAACAATGCAGGCCCAAGACTTGTTTCCATTTAGGATTTGTCAGCCGCTGGTGACGACGCGGCGCCAGGAGCGTCGTGGTGCTGGAGGTTGCTGGACCCTTTGGCTTACTTGGTTCTATATATATATATATATATACCTATTTATGATGTACTAATGTTCGTAATTCACTTAATTTTATGTCAACTTCGCCTTCAATTATACTGTTCAATATCAGTTACTTGTTTGGATATTTTTATTTTGTTAATACCTCATGGGAATACCACGAGGTATTAACACAATAATCTTTCTGATCTTTCCCATGGATGCAACCCACAATAGTTGCGCGCACCTATTTCACTCCCAGGTCAACAGGAGTATCAGGTGAAAGGAAGCGTTGCCCAAACGTTTCCTTGAATCCCGTCCCATGGGGGGGCATGGGAGGGGACTGTGAGAGATGTCCAGGTTTCTCCCACCAACATCAGGGAATTCAGCTTCCATCCCATTCAAAAGATTCTCATCATTCAATTCACATATTTTGTGAACATCGAGAGATTTATTGAGACAAGAAAGAAATACATCTTTTTTTTATTTTACTTTTTTTTTTGAGATATATACAAGAGTTGTTACATTCTTGTACAGCCACTAGTACGCGTAGCGTTTCGGGCAGGTCCCTGGAATACGATCCCCGCCGCGAAGAATCGTTGTTACAACCAAGTACACATTTTACTGTTGCGTTAAACAGAGGCTACAGTTAAGGATTTGCGCCCAGTAAATCCTCCCCGGCCAGGATACGAACCCATGACAAAGCGCTCGCGGAACGCCAGGCGAATGTCTTACCACTCAAAGGGATAGAGTAGCTTAGGTTATTTCTATTATTTCTATGGGGTAATGAAAAACTACAACAGATACTGAAACGTTTATTTACCACAAAAGAGCATTATCACAAAATTTAATTTCACCAAATTGAATTTGATAATTTTTACACTAATATAATTTTTACACTAATATACAGAACGCTCTCACAAATACACGGCTGTTGAACCAACATTTGATTATCGTAATAGAAACAAAAAATATATGAAATGCATTTTATACAGACAATATCTTTTCATTCAGAGTTGAAGTATTGTTTCATCACACACACACACACACACACACACACACACACACACACACACACACACACACACACACACACACACACACACACACACATCTACCAGAAGGAATACAGAATTATATGAACATGTTTGCGGATGATGCTAAGACACTGGGGAAGATAGGGGACGCAAACGATTGTAATGCCCTTCAAATTGAGCTAGATAAAATAAGTGCTTGGAGCGTCAAGTGGCAAATGGAATTCAATGTGAATAAATGCCATGTTATGGAATGTGGAATCGGGGAAAATAGACCACACACAACTAACAAATTATGTAGAAAGGAATTACAGAACTCCTGGAACGAGACCTGGGGGTGGTTTTAGATAGTAAGCTGTCGCCAGAGGAACACATAAAGAATATTGTGAGAGGAACGTATGTGTCGCTTTCCATCTTCAGACTTGCTTTTAATTATATGGATGGTGAAATACTAAAGAAACTGTTCATGACATTCGTGAGACCAAAATTGGAACATGCAGCAATTGTATGGCGCCCAAATCAGTTATCACATCAGAAGCACATAAGGAAACTGGAAAAGGTGCAATGACTGGCAACAAAATGGGTTCCGTAACTAAAAAATAAATGTCACAAGGAGAGACTAGAGGCGTTAAACATGCCAAAACTAGAAGATAGGAGGGAGATATGATCACCACTTACAAAATACTAATAGGAATAGATCAAATTCATAAAGCGTAATTCCTGAAACCAGCAACTTTACGAACATAAAAGGACACAGATTCAAGCTAAGAAAACAAAGGTGCCGAAAAAATATTATAAAAATTTCTTTTGCAAACAAGAGTGGTAGACGGTTGGAACAAGTTAAGTGACAAGGTGGTGGAGGCCAAAACTGTCAGTGGTTGTAAAGTGTTATATGACAAAGAGTACTGGGAAGACGGGACACCACGAGCGTAGCTCTCATCCTGTAACTACACTTAGGTAATTACACACACACACACACACCTTCATGACATAAATCTTAATTCCTCAGTATAAAATAAAAAAAAATAGGCTACGTACTCCAAAATATATTTTGTAATTAAAAAAAATGCGAGCATTAATTTTGTAATTAAAAAAAATGATAAATAAATTCATTTATTTAAAATTTGTAAATAAATGAAAAATGTTTTATGTGAGTCAAGCAACAACAACAAAAAAAAGTCTTTCGCGAGAACATCCTCACTAAAATACAACAATGCATCTCGCCCGTCAACACAGTTGGTTCGAACAAATTCGTTCGCAAATAAATTGACAACGAAGGCCGCCACACAGACAACATTGATCAAAGGGGGATTTTTTTGTTTTGTTTTTGTTTTTAGCTGTAACAAAGTCAATTACAATTAATATAATTTCTACCCGGAATGTTTACCTAGAAACTCGAACACACAGCCCTTCATACGACACAAAATTGTTAATTTTATGGCAAACAGTATATGGCAAACAGTATATGGCAAACAATATATGCCTACAAACAATATATGCCTACAAACAATATATGCCTACAAACAATATATGCCTACAAACAATATATGCCTACAAACAATATATGCCTACAAACAATATATGCCTACAAACAATATATGCCTACAAACAATATATGCCTACAAACAATATATGCCTACAAACAACCTCACTGATGAATCCCTCACTGATATACTCCGCCATGCACACAAAAACAATGCAATTGAGCACGTATTTGAACAAAAAAAATCAAAATTTTTAAATCATTCAGATTTTATTTTGTGAAATACTTGCTGAAAATGTTCAATTGTAGACGCAGCCTATTTCAAGGATGCCTATAGCATTAATGATAAAAACACTTCAACTCATTCATTTCCTACATTAGTAGATGCATAACAATATGAATGTAATAACATTTGTTCACTCTTAATAACTTGAGTGAACACCCCAGCATCAGTCACACCTTCACTGACCTCAGGAGAGACCTCCAACAGGATAACACATCAATATACACACTTTATATATATATATATATATATATATATATATATATATATATATATATATATATATATATATATATATATATATATATATCTTTCTTTGATATATATCTTTGGACTTATCACCAGTGTATAAACATTACACGGGACTAGTATATTCTTAGTCATTAGTGAGTGTATACACAACATACACATCGGTATACACATCAGGTATATATATGTATATATATATATATATATATATATATATATATATATATATATATATATATATGTCGTACCTAGTAGCCAGAACTCACTTCTCAGCCTACTATGCAAGGCCCAATTTGCCTAATAAGCCAAGTTTTCATGAATTAATTGTTTTTCGACTACCTAACCTACCTAACCTAACCTAACCTAACTTAACTTTTTCCACTACCTAACCTAACCTATAAAGATAGGTTAGGTTAGGTTAGGTAGGGTTGGTTAGGTTTGGTCATATATCTACATTAATTTAAACTCCAATAAAAAAAATTGACCTCATACATAATGAAATGGTTAGATTTATCATTTCATAAGAAAAAAATTAGAGAAAATATATTAATTCAGGAAAACTTGGCTTATTAGGCAAATCGGGCCTTGCATAGTAGGCTGAGAAGTGCGTTCTGGCTACTAGGTACGACATATATATATATATATATATATATATATATATATATATATATATATATATATATATATATATTAGAGAGACAGACTACGACGTTAGACAAGGAACACAATGTACTGAGTAGTTGATTTGTTTTGTTCTATATGGGGACGGAGCTCTGACCAACGGCCAAAATATGATGTACGATATATCATCTGATGGCCAGTCCCGTTTTCTATTCGTGGGGCCTCGATTAGGTTAGGTTAGGACAATTTTAGTACTTGAGTTTTATGACGTAACAACTGGCTAGGACGGAGGTGATGGTGTCAGTCCGTCCTCTTCACTTGTTGTGAGCCGCTGTGGTGTGTAGTACATCATATTTTGTCCGTTGTGTTCTCGAGTAATACTCAGGACAGGTTGAGACGTTTCGAGAAGACAGGCTTGAATGTTTATTACTTGGGGGGGGGGGCGAGAACACGGCGATGACTGCGGCAAGCATCTGCCGCAGCTGCTGGCTCATGTGCCAACGACTGCCGCAGCTGCTGGCTCATGTAGCAACAACTGCCGCAGCGGCTGGCTCATGTGGCAACAACTGCCGCAGCGGCTGGCTCATGTGCCAACAACTGCCGCAGCGGCTCATGTGACAACTGCCGCAGCGGCTCATGTGACAACAACTGCCGCAGCGGGTGGCTCATGTGCCAACAACTGCCGCAGCGGCTGGCTCATGTGCCAACAACTGCCGCAGCGGCTCATGTGACAACTGCCGCAGCGGCTCATGTGACAACAACTGCCGCAGCGGCTCATGTGCCAACAACTGCCGCAGCGGCTGGCTCATGTGCCAACAACTGCCGCAGCGGCTGGCTCATGTGCCAACAACTGCCGCAGCTGCTGGCTCATGTAGCAACAACTGCCGCAGCGGCTGGCTCATGTGACAACAACTCCGCAGCGGCTGGCTCATGTGCCAACAACTGCCGCAGCGGCTGGCTCATGTGCCAACAACTGCCGCAGCGGCTCATGTGACAACAACTGCCGCAGCAGCGGCTCATGTAGCAACAACTGCCGCAGCGGCTGGCTCATGTGCCAACAACTGCCGCAGCGGCTGGCTCATGTGCCAACAACTGCCGCAGCGGCTGGCTCATGTGCCAACAACTGCCGCAGCGGCTGGCTCATGTGCCAACAACTGCCGCAGCGGCTGGCTCATGTGCCAACAACTGCCGCAGCGGCTGGCTCATGTGCCAACAACTGCCGCAGCGGCTCATGTGCCAACAACTGCCGCAGCGGCTGGCTCATGTGGCAACAACTGCCGCAGCGGCTGGCTCATGTGCCAACAACTGCCGCAGCGGCTCATGTGCCAACAACTGCCGCAGCGGCTGGCTCATGTGGCAACAACTGCCGCAGCGGCTGGCTCATGTGGCAACAACTGCCGCAGCTGCTGGCTCATGTGCCAACAACTGCCGCAGCGGCTCATGTGCCAACAACTGCCGCAGCGGCTGGCTCGTGGCAACAACTGCCGCAGCGGCTGGCTCATGTGCCAACAACTGCCGCAGCGGCTCATGTGGCAACAACTGCCGCAGCGGCTCATGTGCCAACAACTGCCGCAGCTGCTGGCTCATGTGCCAACGACTGCCGCAGCTGCTAGCTCATGTAGCAACTACTGCCGCAGCGGCTGGCTCATGTAGCAACAACTGCCGCAGCGGCCGGCTCATGTGGCAACAGCTGCCGCAGCGGCTGGCTCATGTGCCAACAACTGCCGCAGCGGCTGGCTCATGTGCCAACAACTGCCGCAGCGGCTCATGTGCCAACAACTGCCGCAGCGGCTCATGTAGCAACAACTGCAACAGTGATTGTTCCAGCACAAAGGAAGAAGATCAAAAGCAAAGACAACATCACATAAGAATCGTCAAGCCGGATGTAAAATTATTGTTTACAGTTTGGTTCAAACCCCCCCCCCCTCCACCCCCCCCCCACTTTGGCCTTCCCTCTCGCCATGTTGTATAATGTAGGAACGTTATTCCTACATCAGGGTGAAGAACCAGGCAAGACCTCCTAGGTTATATCTCTCGCCCACCTCTCTTCTCCTCCTTGTTTACATCAGGGAGAAAATGGGAGTCGTCGGGGGGAAACTAAAGCATATAAATGAGGTATAAACCTAAAGACTAGAGAAGAATGTTGCATATACATTCGATAATTAAGACAAAAATGACATTTAAGAGATGTAAGGATGAGTCAAAGGAGACCAAAAGAGCAGGCAAGGAGGAGAGAGACCGGCAAAGAGAACAGGGAGTAGGAGTAAGGGAAGAATGGAAAGCGGTCGAAGCTAAACAGTGAACATTTTACCGGCCGGGTTTCAAAGGATAAGAGACAGAAGACATACAGCGTGTGTTGGGAGAGTCCATGATGAGTGGGGGAGATGAACATGTGCAACACCTGCTGAAGTAACAAGTTGAATAGTACCAGTCCGACAGAGAGAGAGAGAGTTGGCAAGTAATAAGACTTACACAAGACTTGTCAAGCAGTATTAGGCAGCTAAATAACTTACCGAACCCCCAGAGGACTAACAGCGACAAAGAAAATGGTTAAATAAGCTAGCAAAGAGGATCAGTAGTGAGCACATGAACAGCGGGGGCGGCGGCGCCGCTCTGAAGCCCTCGCTGCCGTACGTCATGAACCCTGGAACACAATAAGCGGAGGTTAACAGTGCCCGCTGCTCCTCACAGTGTTGTGGTGTACAATAGTCACATCCTCGGAGACGATCATATACCTAGTGTGACTACTGACCCTGAGAGCCGGACTGGTGGGCGTGGTCGTCAGGTACATCGATGGTGAAGGCTCTCTCGCTGCTCTGCCAGTACAGGTCGTCGTAGGATGCCACGCACTTGACCTGTAGCACGCCAGACTGTACCACGGTAGGCCGCAGGCGGAAGCGGAGCGTCTTGACGGCGGTCTCCAGCGTGGTAGACCTGTTCACCTGCACCAGCTGACCCTCCTCCCACGAGGGGTCCACCTGTACACACAGACACCGTTATAGGCACCTCCCGTTATATATATATATATATATATATATATATATATATATATATATATATATATATATATATATATATATATATATATAATATATATATATATATATATAATATATATTATTGAATATGACCGAAAAGGTAAGATTAATAATTCTAACACGAATTTTCTCAATATTTCTTATGTTTTTCTTTACTGTCGGTGGTAATGGATATACCAATTCTCCAAAATTCATTTTAATTTAAGGTCTGACGCCTGAACGCGCTTCGTAATGGCTTATTACATTTTCAAAGACTTAATTTACACACAAATTCATCGTACTTGTACTCGTTTTTGTTGAGGTGATATGGTACAAAAGTTTTGGGTGAGGTGAACAAACTTGTGACAAACACAAGACAGAACACGAAACAATGAGTATAACTTGGATATGAGAACATAAGAATGGAAGTAACTGCAGAAGGCCTATTGGCCCATACTTCCTCTTGCTGCTTCCATATAGGTTCAGGGTCTTGAAGTGGGTAGAATATGTTTACTGGAGTAAATTATCGTTGCTTTCTCCAAGTTGGAGAAGTACAGCTACTTTTGCAGGCGATGAGTCACAATAACGTGGCTAAAGTATGTTGACCAGACCACACACTAAAAGGTGAAGGGACGACGACGTTTCGGTCCGTCCTGGACCATTCTCAAGTCGATTGTGAGAATGGTCCAGGACGGACCGAAACGTCGTCGTCCCTTCACCTTTTAGTGTGTGGTCTGGTCAATCTACAGCTACTTTTGCCTTGTGTCAGTGTCAACAATCCCTCTGAAGAACACATCAGTATATAATTATAAGAATCGTTAATTAAACTTGTTTGCTATATTCACCGATGCGTTTATTTCGTTCTAGACAAGAACAATACATAACATACCTCGCGATGATTTCGGGGGCTTAGCGTCCCCGGGGCCCCGGTCCTCGACCAGGCCTCCTGGTTGCTGGACGCGTCAACCAGACTGTTGGACGCCAGGCTGCTCGCAGCCTGACGTACAAATCACAGCCAGGTTGTTCGTACACAGCCTGGTACGAACTCTCGTCCCCTGAGGCGACGGTCAGAGCCGCGAGTTCGTACCGTCGTGCATCAATATTTATTCATACATTCATCACGTTACTGTGATTTGCATGGTGCATATTGGATGAGTAAAGAGTGAGGAAATGCTGGAGACAAGGAAGAGGGCCGACTGGTCCACTCACTGGCTGGTCGTTGATGTAGAAGGAGAGTGTTGGGGCGGGTCTGGCGTTCCTGGAGGAGCAGGTGAAGGTTACCTCCTGCTGGGCCTGGTAGGGGCGTCGCTCCTCCCAGCTGATCGTTGGTCGCTCGTCTGGCAGGTCTGCGTGAGGTCAACACCAGGTAAATGGTAATTAGTGCCACAGGTCATTGACTATGATCGTGGGGGTCAGTGATAAAGAGTCGGGTCAATTTTAAGATGTGATTCACCCCCCCCCCCTTTGTGTTGTGACTTATAAGTTGTCTGGCATTGGAGGCGAAGCTTTTAGTCAAATGATGTATGATGAAGGGTGAATGTTGCTTCATTGTAACTAATGTTTAAACCTGTGTTGACCAGACCACACACTAGAAGGTGAAGGCACGACGACGTTTCGGTCCGTCCTGGACCATTCTCAAGTCGATTTGAGAATGTTCCAGGACGGACCGAAACGTCGTCGTCCCTTCAACTTCTAGTGTGTGGTCTGGTCAACATACTTCAGCCACGTTATTGTGACTCATCGCCTTTAAACCTGTGTGTGTATTTAGTATTTGTGTCTGCATAATCGAGCTATTAGCTCTTGGACTCCGTCTTTCTAACCAGTCTATTTTTCCTCTGTTATGTCTACTACATATATCTCTAACAAATGCGCACGCGCGCATATCCTCAGGAAGCAGCCCGTAGCAGCTGTCTAACTCCCAGGTGCCTATTTACTGCTAGGTGTTGAGGGGGGTATCAGGTATAATGAAACGTGCCTAAACGTCTCGCTCTGCCTAGAAATCGAATATAGTTTCAATTGGTTGAGAGTTGACTGCCTTTACTAGCCCGTCCTCCAAACAAAGACCCAAAAGTGATTCCATGCACCCGCCAAACCCCAGCTGTTTATGAATGAAACAACCCGTCCTCGACTCAAGTCCATTACATTCAGCGGTCAACCCCACAGACGCATTCATAAATTTTAAAATTGCTGTTCATTCAAAACGGGATTTTTTTCAAATATAAATTAATATTATAATATATTAGCATATTGTGCATATATAGGTATAGGTTAGGTTAGGTGTTTAGGTTCTGTTGGCGATTATTTGTATTTGTAGTACGTGGGTGAAGCATTTACAGCGTTGTGGTTCGAACAAATCCGTCAGTGAAGCACTTGTTCCGGAAGTGTTCGAACGTCAGCAGTTGTGAGTCGTGTGTAAACCGCTTTTCATTCATAAACAGGGGGTTTGGCGGGTGCATGGAATCACTTTTGGATCTTTGTTTGGAGGACGGGCTGGAATGAAAAACGGTTTACACACGACTCACAACTGCTGACGTTCGAACACTTCCGGAACAAGTGCTTCACTGACGGATTTGTTCGAACCACAACGCTGTAAATGCTTCACCCACGTACTACAAATACAAATAATCGCCAACAGAACCTAAACACCTAACCTAACCTATACCTATATATGCACAATATGCTAATATATTATAATATTAATTTATATTTGAAAAAAATCCCGTTTTGAATGAACAGCAATTTTAAAATTTATGAATGCGTCTGTGGGGTCGACCGCTGGATGTAATGGACTCGGTCCGAGGACGAGTTGGCCTCTACAGCATTTACCCCGTGACGTTCCGTTTTCTATGACGGTTACTATCTCTCATTTTTTCGAGGGGGACACTTTTGGATATTGACTGACACTACCAGTCATGTCCTTATATAAACCTCTATCTTCCACACCGCCATTCCCGATAACCCTGGCACGCTCTTAGCTCGTCAAACTCTAAGTCTTTTTCTGACACTTGTGCTCTCCTTAGAACAACATCTGGCTTTACCTTAGAACACACACCCTTTATCTCAACATTTCCCCTTACACATTCTGTCTCCCTTGGCAGTCTTAATGATATAGCAGTTGCTGTGTCCTGTGATACCCTCTCTGGTGTCCCTTGACGCCCCTCGGTGTCCCTTGGTGTCCCTTGGTGTCCCTTGACGTCCCTTGGTGTCCCTTGGTGTCCCTTGACGTCCCTTGGTGTTCCTTTGGTGTCCCTTGACGTCGCTTGGTGTCCCTTGACGTACCTTAGTGTCCCTTGACGTCCCTTGGTGTCCCTTGACGTCCCTTGGTGTCCCTTGGTGTCCCTTGGTGTCCCTTGACGTCCCTTGGTGTCCCTTGACGTCCCTTGGTGTTCCTTTGGTGTCCCTTGACGTCGCTTGGTGTCCCTTGACGTCCCTTAGTGTCCCTTGACGTCCCTTGGTGTCCCTTGACGTCCCTTGACGTCCCTTGGTGTCCCCTTGGTGTCCCTTGACGTCCCTTGGTGTCCCATGGTGTCCCTCGGTGTCCCTTGACGCCCCTCTGTGTCCCTTGACGCCCCTCTGTGTCTCTCGGTGTCCCTCGGTGTCCCTTGACGCCCCTCGGTGTCCCTCGGTGTCCCTTGGCTCTGACTGTGACAGTTCCCGACCCCCGTTAGTACACCATGGGAATGGACCGTGTTGACAAGCTTACAGTTTGACACACAGCTGGAGTATGACCCGAGAAATATATAAGTGGAGTCATAACAGACTTGTACCTGGGGGCGGAAATGGCCGCCATTTTCCAAAATGGCCGCCAATCTTTTTATTTTTGGGCCATTTAGCAGGTCGACTGAATCCGCTTCTGAAGCTGCGAGCTTGTTTTAGATATTTTAAATTGAAACGGAATTGAAATTCTTCTAACTATGCAAGGACCCTTCGTGGTATAATTAATACATTTCGTATAATTTGCGCAAAAACGTATACATACAAGACTTAAGCATTATAAGGCTGAATATGTTGGTATTGAGCACGTTCCTCTACACTAAAAGAGGGGCTCATTTTTTGCACTTTCAGCATATTTGCTTGGAACACTTGTTGCCGTAGTCCCATTCCTTACTGTTGATCCATATTCCTTCCCCTGTCTTAACGCCCCCCTGACTCCATTAACGTCCCCTGCCTCCCTTAAAGCCCCCCCCCTCTGCCTCCCTTAACACCCTCCCCCTGCCTCACTTAAAGCCCCCCCCCTGCCTCCCTTAACAACCCCCCTGCCTCCCTTAAAGCCCCCTGCCTTCCTTAACGCCCCCCTGCCTCCCTTAACGCCCCCCTGCCTCCCTTAACGCCCCCCTGCCTCCCTTAACGCCCCCCTGCCTCCCTTAACGCCCCCCCCTGCCTCCCTTAACGCCCCCCCTGCCTCCCTTAACGCCCCCCTGCCTCCCTTAACGCCCCCCTGCCTCCCTTAACGCCCCCCTGCCTCCCTTAACGCCCCCCTGAGAAATAACACCTCAACACTACACTTCTCGCCGCTTCAAAACGACCCCAAATAAGCACAGATTTCATAGAGTAGGATCATCACCTGCTAATGAGCAGGGAGGAGGGAGAGGCCGCATGTAAATAGTGGCGTGACGGCTCAGTGGCGGCGGCTCCCGCGTACATCTGGGGAATACATTATCAACGCCAGCCTGACTTCATCAGCCGCTAGGCTTACTGGATGGTAATGGTCCGGACCTTCTGGGTGATGGTGGAGCACCTGCTGGCTTGTGGGGGTGAGCTTGGGGGTTGTGGGGGTGAGCTTGGGGTTGTGGGGGTGAGCTTGGGGTTGTGGGGGTGAGCTTGGGGTTGTGGGGGGTGAGCTTGGGGTTGTGGGGGTGAGCTTGGGGTTGTGGGGGTGAGTTTGAGGTTGTGGGGGTGAGCTTGGGGGTTGTGGGGGTGAGCTTGGGGTTGTGGGGGTGAGCTTGGGGGTTGTGGGGGTGAGCTTGGGGGTTGTGGGGGTGAGCTTGGGGTTGTGGGGTGAGCTTGGGGTTGTGGGGGTGAGCTTGGGGTTGTGGGGGTGAGTTTGGGGTTGTGGGGGTGAGCTTGGGCTTGTGGGGGTGAGCTTGGGGGTTGTGGGGGTGAGCTTGGGGGTTGTGGGGGTGAGCTTGGGGGTTGTGGGGGTGAGCTTGGGGGTTGTGGGGGTGAGCTTGGGGTTGTGGGGGTGAGCTTGGGGGTTGTGGGGGTGAGCTTAGGGTTGTGGGGTGAGCTTGGGGTTGTGGGGGTGAGCTTTTGTGGGGGGTGAGCTTGGGGTTGTGGGGTGAGCTTGGGGTTGTGAGGGTGAGCATGGGCTTGTGGCTATAGTGTACCATTACGGATAATACCAACCTGTTACCCACCCGCGCTATAGTACCTATACCTACTATGGATGGACTCGCACTCACCCACCACCGTCATGAGGGCGGACTTGAAGGAGGTCTTGAAGACGGGCGCCTCGCCGGACACCTCACAGCGGTAGTTGCCGCCGGCGTCCACCGTCACGTTGTGTATCCTGACGCTGCCACGCCCGGAGGCCCGGGTGTCCATGGTGAAGTGCTGCATAGGGAAGGTCTTCACCGGCGGCGTCTCCAGCGGCGTCCACCGGTAGAACTCGTCGATGCCGAGGTACCACTTGAGGGTGTAAACGTGGTCACCCTCGTCCTCCCACTCGCACCGGAGCCACCCGCCCTCGCCGACCGCCAGGGGCGTCGGTACCTCCAGCCTGGTGATCCTGATGGCTCTCGACACTCCTGTGAGAATGAGGGAGGTGGGCGGTTAGAACAACATGCTGGAACAGGTCTCTGGTGGTACAGAGAAAATGTAGCATTTTAGGGCTAACTGATGAGATCATTTTCTCGTTGCCTAGTTTTGTCCTGTATAATGTTACTCTTCAAGATGACAGTACACCACCGCTGGCTTCCGAAACACTCTTGAATACCATCAGACAGACAACAATACAAATTACCAGAAATTGAATCTTTAATTCAAGCTGCAACATTTACATCCAACCAGAAGTGCACTTTCCCACGAGAAACAGGATAAATTAATTGTTATGGACAAAATAATCATAGATATTAAAATGGGTGCAGGAAGTCGACTACACCGACCAGTGTAAGTGCCCGGCATTACCTCTAAACATAATGGAACAAAAATAATTAAGACGACGAGAATGGAGCATCAACTGCGGCCAACCTTGGTAACAGGAGCAAATTTTTTTTTTAAATTTTGCCCCGAGGGGCGAGTTTATTGGGCAGCGCCACTCATCTTGTGAGTGGACACACCGCCATAGTGACAGTATTGGGCAGCGCCACTCATCTTGTGAGTGGACACACCGCCATAGTGACAGTATTGGACAGCGCCACTCATCTTGTGAGTGGACACACCGCCATAGTGACAGTATTGGACAGCGCCACTCATCTTGTGAGTGGACACACCGCCATAGCAGCATGTACAACACTCCCCAATAGGAAGAAAACCCGCTGGGTTGTTCATCCTGTCACTTGTACCCAGCAACACGATTAGTGAGGCTCGTGTCTAATGAACCTGGTGGGACTTGACGACAGAGTCACCGAGATCAGACACGGTTGTGCTCGGTGGCTTGCATTTCCAAAGGCTGCCAAATCCTTATGGCTGCTGGCTCCCCTTCCAACATATAAGATACTTTGTAATAGATGAGGTGGAGACTTTTTCACTGGGGAAAACAGAACGAGAAGGAACAGTTGGAAACTGGAACCGGGCATCGCTACCCCTGGCCCGCTCAGCGACCCCTGGCCCCCGGGCATCGCTACCCCTGGCCCGCTCAGCGACCCCTGGCCCGCTCAGCGACCCCTGGCCCCCGGGCATCGCTACCCCTGGCCCGCTCAGCGACCCCCTGGCCACCGCTGCCCAGCGCCAGGGGGGTAATGCCACTTGTCGCGTCGTGTAACTATGGAAAGAGAGCTTCACTGCAGTGTTTTGTAGTTGAAACATTTATATATTTCTGCATATTATATGAATCTTGTCTACATACACTTTTAGACTAGCATTATAAATTAAAGAATGTCGCTGCTTTTCAGCATCATGCCGAAAACCAAGTACTAGAATGTTATTGTTATTTCATGTTTTTTTTAAAGAATAAGCAACGTTGTTTACGTCAGTTGAAAGAAAAGGATTCTTTCATTAGCATTAGCATTTTCTTTCATTTCTTACGGCATTAGAAAGAAAACACATCGGACACTTCAAACACAAGTGCGTTACGTGCCAGCGTCAACAGACTCGGGGGGGGGGGGAGTTAAGAGTATACAAACAGAATAGTGTACATCACAGGTAAACTAGTATACATGCCGGAGATGTTATCGCAGGCAGTCTTATACATAGGCATTCATACATTTTCTGCCGGAGGTTCGGGAATTTAATTTTGTGTGAGAACGAAGAACATCTGTATCTCTTAAGAGGGTTTACCCGAGGTTGCAAGTCAGACGATCTTGAGGTTATCTTGAGATGATTTCGGGGCTTAGCGTCCCCGCGGCCCGGTCCTCGACCAGGCCTTCTTTTTGTTAAAGGGCAAGGTAACTAAATGGTAATGGTAACCCCCCCCCCCAGGGAGCAGCCCGTAACAGCTGTCTAACTCCCAGGTACCTATTTACTGCTAGGTAACAGGAGCATCAGGGTGAAAGAAACATTTTGCTCATTTGTCTCCCCCTCCACCGGGGATGGAACCCGGAACCTCAGGACTATGAATCCGAAGCACTGTCCTCTCAGCTGTCAGGCGCCCAGACGCTTGGGGCTAGCCTTATGCAACTTTCACACATGATGCACATGGGGTATGGGAGTGTCATAGGCGAATCGGGGTCGGCCCCAGTGCCACACTTGACGAAATACGAGCATCTAACAAAGCTGATCCCAACCATCCCATTATCACGAAGCCAAGTCTGAAATATTGGTTGTGTTGTACGTAGATTTATTTCAGTTATTTATGTAATAATTATTTTAGAGAGAAAGAGGGGGGGGAGGGAGAGAGGGATGTTTGAAGGAAAGAGAGAGGGGGAATGTTTGAAGAGAGGGAAGGGGAATGGGGGAATAAAAGTGGAGGTGAGAGGGGGCGATAAATGTGCAGAGATTGGGAAAGGAGATTATTATTATTAACATCTTTATTGACAAAATTAATTACAATTTTGCCTAATCTAAGGAATTTGATAAAGTCGTATCAAAGTGAGGATAATGCTGGTATTCACTGTCACACAGGACAGAGGGTCATGCACAAGACAATAGGCTTAAACTGTAGGCTGAAGCACATATATATCATGGTTACAATCAATGTTTTAATGTATGGATATGTGAAAACAACTTTCTATTGTGCACTGCCACACAAGGGCAGGGATGGGTTCATAAGTGATGCAGCTTAGAATATAAATAGAAATTGTTCTTCATTCTTTAAAATGGACAAGCAAATTTTGGGTAAATTGTTAGGATGTCGTCCAGAACACCTGAGTCAACAAAATAGTTACACAGTTGGTGGTACAAGAGGCCAGGAGGTCTAAAGGAGATTGAGAGAAAGGGCGGAAAAGGAACGAGGGCGGAGGGATGGGGGGGGAGGATATGGGGGGGGGATAGGGAAAGAGATATGAGAGAGAGGTGGAAGAGAGACCCGGGCGCTGCCGAGTACTCCTTGTAATGTAGTGTGTGCGTGTTAAAACTTGCAGTGTTATAATAAGTACACCCCTCTCTCTCTCTCTCTCTCTCTCTCTCTCTCTCTCTCTCTCTCTCTCTCTCTCTCTCTCTCTCTCTCTCTCTCTCTCTCTCTCTCTCTCTCTCTCTCTCACACGTTTACTACCACCTACGCCTAATCCTGCCATTCGTTTCCTGTTACCAGTCCACTTTCCTCCTCTCCTCTCTTCCTCTCCATTTCTCTTCCTCTTCCAGCCTCCCTTTCTGATTTTTTTCTTCAACTTTCTCCACTTCTTGAAAGGACAGGAAGCCGAGGAAGAGAATGGAGAACGTAGATAAGGAAGTGGAGGCGGACAATGAGAAACAGGAGGTATGAAAGGAAGTAGAAGAGACAAAAAATGTCGAGCGATGGAAGGTAGTGGGCAAGGAAGGAATAATAAAAGGAACAGAAGAAAGTTGGGAGGATCAAACTGAGAAGGGAAAGAAGGGGAAGGGGAGGAAGGAGGAAGGAGGAGGATCAGGCAATGGAAAGGCTGAGAAGGATGATTAAAAGAAAGTGATTGAGTTTAAAGGTCAAAAAAGGGGAAGGAAATGAGAAAGGTAAAGTATAGAAAGAAGGGGTTAGGAAGAGATGGGCAAAAAGAGGTGTAGAAAAGGCAGAATAAGAGTAGGAGGAAAAGTGGAGGAAGAGAAAGAGGAGGGAAGGGAGGAGGGAGGACTGGAAGAGAAGGAAGAGGGAAGACAGGAAGAGGAAGAGGGATTACAGAAAGGGAAGAGGTGAGAAGGGCGTCAGAGAAGGACGAAGCTGGTACAGTAACTCTGGTCATGGTTACATAACTCCTACAGGAAGGTTACAGCTAAATATTACACAGACCCGGTCTTAAAAGGCTTAATAATAGAGCATTGACAAGAGCCAGCATATAAAAGAGCAGAGGCTAAGCCAAGCTCTTAATGGGTAATGTCTCTCTCTCTCCTAACGGTTTAGGATGAGAGAGAGAGAGAGAGAGAGAGAGAGAGAGAGAGAGAGAGAGAGAGAGAGAGAGAGAGAGAGAGAGAGAGAGAGAGAGAGAGAGAGAGAGAGAGAGAGAGAGACGGATGGTAAAGTACGCATGGGGGGGGGGGGGGGGGGGAGGTACAAGAGTAGTTCACTACTGGGGGCTAGTAACCCCAATGGTAGACTACTGAAGGCTAGTAACCACAATGGTAGACTACTGGGGGTAATAACCACAGTGGTAGACTGCTGGGGGCTAGTAACCACAGTGGTAGACTACTGGGGGCTATAGTAACCACGATGGTAGAGTACTGGGGGCTATAGTAACCACAATGGTAGACTACTGGGGGCTATAGTATCCACAGTGGTAGACTACTGGGGGCTATAGTAACCACAGTGGTAGAGTACTGGGGGCTATAGTAACCACAATGGTAGACTACTAGGGGCTATAGAAACCACGATGGTAGACTACTGGGGGCTATAGTATCCACAGTGGTAGAGTACTGGGGGCTATAGTAACCACAATGGTAGACTACTGGGGGCTATAGTATCCACAGTGGTAGACTACTGGGGGCTATAGTAACCACAGTGGTAGACTACTGGGGGCTAGTAACCACGATGGTAGACTACTGGGGGCTAGTAACCACAGTGGTAGACTACTGGGGGCTATAGTAACCACAATGGTAGACTACTGGGGGCTATAATAACCACAGTGGTAGACTACTGGGGGCTAGTAACCACGATGGTAGACTACTGGGGGCTAGTAACCACAGTGGTAGACTACTGGGGGCTATAGTAACCACGATGGTAGACTACTGGGGGCTAGTAACCACGATGGTAGACTACTGGGGGATATAGTAACCACAGTGGTACTACTGGGGCTATAGTAACCACAGTGGTAGACTACTGGGGGCTAGTAACCACGATGGTAGACTACTGGGGGCTAGTAACCACAGTGGTAGACTACTGGGGGCTATAGTAACCACGATGGTAGACTACTGGGGGCTAGTAACCACGATGGTAGACTACTGGGGGATATAGTAACCACAGTGGTAGACTACTGGGGGCTATAGTAACCACAGTGGTAGACTACTGGGGGCTAGTAACCACGATGGTAGACTACTGGGGGCTATAGTAA